ACAAGCACTGAACCGATGAATGCAAGTGATGTCAACGAGATGGACTTTCTTACGGTGGATGAATGTATTCTACAGGCGGGGGAGCACAAATTCAGCGCCCACCGCATCGTTTTGGCGGCCTCCATCCCTTACTTTCATGCCATGTTCACCAATGACATGGTGGAGTGTAAACAAGATGAAATACTCATGCAAGGAATGGACCCCAGGTACAGCGAACTGATCTGACACGGCTTGACAGCGCACCAAACAGCGCAAGACTGCTTTCAACAAGTTGTGTGTGTGTGTGTGTGTGTGTGTGTGTGTGTGTGTGTGTGTGTGTGTGTGTGTGTGTATTTTTGTGGTGTGTGTGTGCGTACATTCAGCGCTCTGGAAGCGCTGATCAACTTCGCATACAGCGGCCACGTGGCCATCGACCAGCAGAACGTTCAGGCCCTCCTGATCGGCTCCAGCTTCCTGCAGCTGCAGAACGTCAAAGACGCTTGCTGCTCCTTCCTGCGGGACAGGTGATGTCACCTCATCTTTGGCACATTTCCGTTCCTCCACGTTCCTCCACATTGATGAGTGGGCGGCCACTTGTTTGTCAGGTTGCATCCGAAGAACTGTTTGGGGGTGCGTCAGTTTGCGGAGACCATGATGTGCGCTACCCTTTACGACTCGGCCAACAACTTCCTGCACCGGCACTTCGTGGACGTGTCCCTGTCGGAGGAGTTCCTCACCCTGAGGACCGACGAGCTGCTGGAGCTCGTCGCCTGCGATGAACTCAATGTGAAAACTGAGGAGCAGGTCAGACATTCCTTTTGCCTCTTGTGTCTTTTACACATTCTGTTGAGAAATGTCCAAAGGGTCCTGTCTTTGTACGTTGTCTCTTCTTTCTGTTCTTATAGGAGAAGTCAACCCAACTTTTTTTTTTTTTTTTGCAATAATACGTTGTATGTCTCTCTCTTTCAAATTTACCCTTCATATAAATAAATATATCTTATAGTTTAAAATAATGGAAAAAAACAAAAATATATCCTCTCTCTTTACCTTTCAAAGAAACAAAACATGCGACTGTATGTTCATCGTTGTAGGCCGCTGCATTAGTAGTACGCGGAATTGAAAGCTTTTCTCTTTAACGGTGCGATACCTGCTGTTACGTCTGTAACCTTCTCGGAAATGCACTCGCACGAACAGTTAGCGTGTAAACAAAACGCCGGTTTGATTCATAACGGAAGTTACGAAATCAGGCAAAGGCTCAAGGGGGGCTCCCCCAGCTGCGAGTGAGTTCATGCATTCCAGGTTTCCTGTCTTTGAACATATCTTGCTGTGTATAGAAATCTGTTCTCTGTGAAGGTGTTTCAGGTAAAGTGTGGTAGCATTGAAGGCATGTCCACCCTTGTGCCTCTTCTCCCGGCAGGTGTTTGAGGCGGCGCTGTCTTGGGTCCATCACGATCGCGTCAACCGGGAATCTTTGCTGCCGGAGCTGCTCTCCAAGATCCGATTGCCGCTTTGTCGTCCTCAGTTCCTGACGGAGCGAGTCCAGCAGGAAGAACTTGTGCGCTGCTGCCATAAATGCAGGTCCGACCTGTTTTCTTGCTTGGCACGAGCGAGTGTGAGGTCGGGTTCCACTCGTTATCATTCGCTGGCCTTCCTTCTTTTGGCCCCTAGAGACCTCCTGGATGAGGCCAAAGACTTCCACCTGATGTTGGAGCGTCGCCCTCACCTTCCCGCCTTCAAGACGCGTCAGAGGTGCTGCACGTCCATCATGGCGCTCATCTATGCCGTGGGAGGACTCAACAGCTCCGGTGTGAGGGGGCGGGACTTGGACGGCCGGAACGCCGTCCAATTGGTCCTCGAACTAACCCGACCTTCTCCCGCAGGTGACTCCTTGAACGTGGTGGAAGTGTTCGATCCGATGGGGAACTTCTGGGAACGCTGCCAACCAATGAGGACGGCCCGCAGCAGGGTGGGCGTGGCCGTGGTTAACGGACTACTCTATGCCATCGGAGGCTATGACGGCCAGTCGCGACTCAGCACCGTCGAGGTCTACAACCCCGAGACGGACGCTTGGACCAGAGTGTCCAGCATGAACAGCCAACGCAGGTCGGCACACTGATCGGAACTCTGATCAGCGCTCACTGCTTGGCGCCTTGACGTGACCGTTCTTGTGGCATTCCTCAGCGCCATGGGAACAGTTGTGATTGACGGCCACATCTACGTGTGCGGCGGCTATGACGGAAAATCTTCTCTCAACTCTGTCGAATGCTACTCACCGCACACTGACAGGTAACAAGCTCCCAACTCGCACTGACATATGGCTTAAAGCAATGGTCCCCAACCACTGGTCCACGGCCCTGTACTGGTCCGCAGACCACCTCGAACCTGGTCACACAGAGACAGATGCAAATAAAGTAAATAAAATTGGTGGGGTGGCATATATATATATATATATATATATATCTGCCCAAGAATACTGCCATTCTGTGGGTTACCTTCCAAAGGGCAATGTAAATATTATTATATGATCAATGATTGTGATAACACGGTGACCAGCTGTGAGCATCAGCAAGCACTCAGACGTGGCGGAAATGTGCGTTACAGTTGCCAATCGGAGTCCACCTTGTCCTTCTCTACTTTGGTTTGCAAGTGACATCGCGATCAGCTCGATCAGGGCGCGCAGGTTTCTCCACCACCACAAGGTGGCCATCCTTGTAGGTGGTTTGTGGTAACTTCCTGTGTGTGTTCTAGGTGGTCTGTGGTGACGGAGATGAGCGCCAGTCGCAGCGCTGCCGGTGTCACCGTCTTTGACGGACGCATCTTTGTGTCCGGAGGACATGACGGCCTACAGATCTTCAACACGGTCAGTCACATCTTCGTCCTCCTTATCGTCTTTGTCATCATCAGTTATATGTATCCATGTGCATGCATCCTTTAGGTGGAATATTACAACCATCACACGAACCGCTGGCACGCGTCATCGCCAATGTCAAACAAGCGTTGCCGTCACGGGGCGGCGTCACTGGGCAGCCACCTGTACGCCGTGGGCGGCTACGATGGTTCCGGGTTCCTGAGTGGCGCCGAGGTCTTCAGCTCAGCTTCAGGGCAGTGGAGCCACTTGGTGGCCATGAACACGCGGCGCAGCAGAGTGTCCCTGGTGGCGGCGTCAGGGCGCCTCTATGCCGTGGGCGGATATGACGGACAGACCAACCTGGGATCTGTGGAGATGTTCAACCCCGACACGGGTCGATGGACCTTCATGGCCCCCATGGCCTGCCACGAGGGCGGTGTTGGCGTAGGTTGCGTCCCCCTGCAGCCCGCCTAAACGGGCCCGTTGCACCCCGTCGCAGCCGGCGGGTCAGCTGTCGGGTGAGGGGGCCGAGCGAGCCCCGGTGAGGCCGAGCAGTGTGGTCGCATCGGCGACCGTAGCTTTAGCTGCTGGGGCTAACGGTTAGCATTGTGCCCGTGGCCGTTCTGACCGGCGGCAGGCGCTGCGATCCCGTGATCAGGGTCGCGCGCTCACCGCTTCCTGTCGGCCGGGACAGGAAGTGGCACATCTGCTTCAATATAAAAGCACCCATCTTTGGTGCCATCCAGCAAGGCTTTTATTTTGGAAACAACAGGAATTTGACCTGTGTCCTCATAAGTCCCAATTTAAACTGTGCAAAGAATGTGATCGTGGAGCAAAGTTGTTGAAAGTGAAAAATAAATGAAGTTGCTTAATGGATGTAATGCCTCATACTGTCGTCACTGTCACAAAATAAAAACTAATTAGCAACAATGGTAACATAATGTTCTCGTTAGCATTAGTTTTACAGAAAGATCTTTGTATGTAAAATGTGCTCAACTTGAAAAGATGCTTAATTGTGATATTTGTTCAATTAGGAAAGATCCAGCAGGTGATGATGACGTCAGTGACGGCGCCCCAGTAGTGCTGCAAAACTCATTTCACGCTTGATTCAAGTAAATACAAATCCTGGTCGAGTAGTATAGTATATTGGGACTTGTTGTGAACTTCAGTGTTTCACACGGTAAAAAAATGCATAATTAGTGATGAGGAAATTGGCAACACAACCTTGGATGAAAACCAAAAGACTTTTATTGCCTCATTGACCAGCAGGAAGTAGAATTCTGAATATCTCAGCTTCATCTTTAATGCCCGCTAGGCTTACTGGGGTCCGCAGGCTCCTTTGCTGTACACTGCGTTGGGGGTCTTTGATCTGCCGGAGTCCTGGAAAGCCCGTCGTGATCCCTTTGTGGACTGGGACACCTAGATGCACATTTAGATCAGTCAAACCTCCTGACGGATGGTTATTCTTCATTTATAGCTTCATTTTTGTAAGTTTGTTGAGGTGACCCGTGGCCACTCACTCTGCAGGCTGGAAACGTCGCTCCTCTCCGTCCAAAATCCCATGGTACAGTCGGATCTCCTGCTCCAGGCGCTGCTTGTTACTGAGGAGACTGTCGTAATCTCTGCGCTGTTGCTCCATCTCGCCACGCACATCCGCCAGTTCTGCCTCCAGCTTGGACACCACCGAACCAAGATTCTGGAGCTCCATGTCGTGCCAGTGCCGTGCATCGCCCAGCGAGTTCTCCAGACCGCGTTTCTGCAAGGGGACCCACTTAAACATGAGCGGTGAGCTACGGCTGGCCGAAAGGCTCGCGTCACAGATCTCACCAGAGCTCGGATGGATTCGGTCTCAGCCTGGAGGCTTTGGATCTTGCAACCCGCATCGGAGCACTGGACCTTCAGGGCCTCCAGCTGTTCCTCTTCTGGACTCAGCCGACTTTCGCACTTGGCATCCTGCGGGAGGAACATGCGTTAAGTACTATCCGTGCAATACTTGCTATTCCGTCTGGTCACCTTGCATTCCTGGTAGCTGTCCGTCTCAGCTCGGTTCTTCTCCGTCACTTTCTCCCAATGGTTCCGAATGTAGGCCAGGATTTGGTCCAGGCTAGTTTCAATCGGAGCGTCCGGTTGATCCAATTCCCGTCCGGACATTTGACTGTAGAGGAGGCGCACGTCCTGTGGGGCAGGGACAGCATGACGAATTAGGGACGGCATCCGGAACCAGGATGTTGGTGTTGCCCATGGAAATAGTTGGGATGCAGTTGGAGCTATTCAGTCTGACGTTGGGAATGTCTCCTTTTACGTCAGGAATGTTGATGATTCTGAGCCACTCGCCCGTATTTTGTCAAGAGAGTCAGGAAAGTTGGCGATGCATTTGAGAATCTTGTAGACGCAGTTCAGAATGTTCCAAACGATGTCTGACCTGCTCGTGCTGTCGCTCCAGTTGTTGCAGTTCGACCCTCATGGCGTCCATCTGCTCCTCCAGCTCCGCCCGAGTCAGGCCAGCGTCCTCCAAGACTTTGTAGAGCGACGCCATCTCATCCTCCGCCGCCTTCCGGAACGGTCGCTCGCTCTCAAACCTGCGACGGAAGCGCACACATGACGATGAGTCGTCCCCCTGACTCCGCCCACTTGCGCCACACTCGGTGGCCGCTATCAACCTCTGACCTTTCTTTAAAGTCCTCGGCGTTGGCCTGCACATTTTCTGTCTGCAGCGTCAGTCGAGCGTTGTCCAGGATGGCCTCGCTGACCTGAACACATGCGTCGCCATGGAGATGCTACTGTCAATCACTCATGAGAAGGCTGATAACAATCCTGATCATCAATAACAGCGTACCTTCATTCAGTAAATTGTGATATTTGATGTTACTTCGAATAACTGCGTTAATGTAAAAAAATAAATTAAGAGGTAAATATATGTTTACAATCTTATAAATTATGTTTTGCCATTTATGGTTTGTCTCCATGGGGGTCGCCATTGTCGAGTGATGTCACATTGAAGTCAATGGGTGAAGTTGAGGTCCTCCCAGTTCAAAGGGCCGTGATGGTCTTCCTGGCTACCCAACTAGTGAACTTTTCCTCATCGGAAAAAGCCGACTTCCCACTTTCTTAGAATACAGCATAACAATGACATACAAGGATCCTTGCACCTACTTGTAGCAGAGTTTGTCAGTAACAATGGCAACAAAAGATGGCTGCCCTCTGGCTTCAGCCGCGACGGGCCCAGTGAAACATACACACACGCTTGGGCTCCAGAAACAAAATGAAAATCCTCAAGAATGTTGATGATTGTCTTCCAAAGAAAAAAAACGAATATTTACAAATGTCTGATGGTGAAAAAATTAATCAGTCTGCGTTCATGGCGGACAACAGAAGTTGGAGAATATTTCCTGTTGAAAGGCTGAAAGTGGAAGGGTTTGGAATTTTGAAGTTGAACAAGGTCTTGAAATGTTTCATAGCTTATAAAAGTAGTTGTCATCTTGCTGGACACTACATCTCGGCTACCTTATCTGATCTTTGGAAAATGCGATTTTATTTGGGGGTCCTATGTCGGACTATCTGTCTCTGTCCATCCCCCAAAGACCCCACCCCCAGCCACAGTCCTCGGGCTACCGGCTGCCCCTCTCACCTGCCTGTAGACATCCTCCCACTGGCCCCTGAGCGGCCCCCAGGCTCCGGCACAAGATGCCTTGCGGTCCAGACTCAAACGGATCTGCTCCTCCAGCTGTTGGTTCAGTTGTTCTAGCGCTTGGACTTTGTCTCGGTACTCCATCAAGCAGCTATTAAGGCCGCTCCCGCTGCCCGCCCCGGCCCCCGCCACGCCCTGACCCGCCCGCTCGCTCGCCCGGGGCAACAGGGGTGTTGCACTACTCCTGGTGCCCTGCAGGAAGATGCTGCTGATGCCCAAAGCTCTGCGAGACACGCGCGTCCCCAGGTTGGATGCGACGCCCATCAGGGGCGCCGTGCCTACGAAGACACCCCGGGAGGTGGCCCCGCCGGGGGCCACCCGGACACATGCGGCGCTCGGGCGCTCGGACGAGGACGACGAGGACGCAGACTGGCCCAAAAACGAGGAGCGGCGTCGAGGCAGAGGCATGACGGACTAAACCTCAGAGGAACCCGCGTGGCCACATTTATGGGAGGACTGGATTCTGGAAAAGATGGCGCCTTTGTTCGGCTAACATTTGTGTTACCGCGCTGACCTCTGACCTTTGTTGTCACGCTGCCTGTGCATGTGTGTGCGTGCAGCTGCGTCAGCACATGTGAGGCAAACACACGTACACTGTGACTCAGCTGTTTGTTTGTTGTTCCTTTGAAAAGAAACGTTCTGGCTTGACGCGTCAGTTCCTGTTTACGACACCATGTGACCTGTGAGGTGACAGGAAATGTTGGAGGACAAATAATGAAATCGTCTCTGTAGACATCAGAGGTTATGTGAGGACATAAGCTGTTTTTATTTTACTTTGCTTTGTTTTGATTGTTTCACTCACAAAACGTCCCTCTGTTTGGAAAGGTAGTTTTTTTTAATTTTATTTTTTTACAACAAAAGTCAATTGGTGATGTCATCAGGAGAGAGTGCCCCCCCCCCCTACACACACACACGGATACCCCCCAACCATAATCAAAGTCATCAGATGGTGTGAGGTGAAAACAGGAAGTGTAGAAAGGAAGTGAATCAAAAAGCGTGACAAGCGTCTTCCTGTCACTTGTTTCGTCTGCTTGGCGTCAGCCTGCATTTCCTGTTGCCGCAAAGGTTGCAGCGCCAACAGAATGTCCCGCCTCGGGTGACGCCACCAACAGAAAGTCCGGCCTACAGCGACAGCGCTTGTGAGGTGTCGCTGTCAGACGCTCTGGCGGAACCCAGTGGACTTTTCCCGGAGCGGCTGAGCTGGTCCGAGGGCGTCCCGGGGCGTCGGCAGGAGCAGGAGCGCAGCAGCTGGAACAGGTCCCGGCGAAAACGCACGCCCACGAAGACGTATAGGAAGGGGTTGAGACAGGCATGCAGGTAGGCCACACCCTTCAGCACCTGGCCCACCTTCAGGAAGCGTTTGAGCTCGCGGCAGTCGGTGACAGTCACGTTGGCTGCCTGCATCGCCTCTGTCACCAGGACCGCGTTGTGGGGCAGCTGGGTGGCCAGGAAGACGGTCACGACGGCCAGGACCACGCGCATGGCTTTGTGCTTCAGGAAGCTGCGCGTCTTGAGCAGGGTGGCCACCACGGAACCGTAACACGCCGCCATGATGGTGAAAGGCAGGCAGAAGCCCATGACCACCTGCACCCACAGCGTGGCCATCTTTGTTCGCTGCCCCACGTGCGACGGGAACAGCATTCGGCAGAACTCGCGTGGGCCCTCGTCCTCTTCAGTTGACACGGTAGTGGAAAAGGCCAGCTCGGGTGTGGCCAGCAGCAGGGCGGCCAACCAGACGCCAGCGCACACAAATCGTGCGAAGCGGCGCCGCTCGGCCTGCGAGTTTTGGGCCTTGGCTGTCTGCACGATGACCACGTAGCGGTCCATGCTGATGCAAGTCAGAAGAAGTGTGGAGCTGAACAGGTTCACCTTGTACACCGCCGACGTCACCTGCAAATGATCCGTCAAGCTTTTATTAGGCTTGGACAACACAAGATGATAAAAAAAACAAGAACAAAAGCCCCAATGCCCCACCCCCAACCCATGTGCAAAAGCACCTAGGGTTTAAAAAAGGTGATTCAAAGACATGACACGGATGAGGGTGAGGAAGTGCCACCATGGAAGACCGTCAGCACCAGGAGCTGTTCAGAACAAGAGTGACCGCCCCGCACCAGGCAGATTGTGGAGCCAGAAGCACACTTAAAAACCAAAGACGGGGTTCATTCCACCCCGGCTACATAACAACTCAGTTAGCTGACGGCCTCCCAGTGAGGAAATGCTGCCCTGCTAAAACAAATAGCATAGCCCAGCTGGCGTTGGTTGTGTTTTTGTGCAGCAAGAGCATAACCAAATAAGCCAAGATTGGCACAGCCGAACCTTTGGGCATTCGCTGACCCGCTCTACCAACTGAGCCACAACCACCTAGCAAAATCGACATGCTTTTGTTGCCCGGCTGGACTTGAGCTGGTCAGCAGCTCCTGGCAGGGCCCAAGCAACATTCTGGCCCTGTTGGGCGGCTGTGGACCGCTACATAGAGTGTGTTGCCCAGTAACCGGAGGTTTGGCTGCTCCAATCTTGGCTCTTTTGTTTTGCTTTTGCTGCTGGAAAATACAGTCAAACCTCGGTTTTCGAACGTCTTTGTTCTCGACCAAATCAGTTTTCGACAAAAAATTAGGAGTTTTTAATGCCTCGGATGACGACCGAATTTCGGTTCTCGAACAAACGCAGCGCACTTGAATGCGTCACTTGACTCCTCTCGGCTTCCTTACACGAGAAAGTGACGCTTCCTCGTTTAGCGTTCCATGGTGAACAGACGTTTTTTTCATTGTTTTTTTGTTTTTTTAGCAAGGTGGAACTCAGCTAAATTAAATTGGCTCATCTCTATAAGCATACAAGGACTAAAAGAAATCAATTCCCGACTACTCTTCAAAAAGCACTGGTACCTTGCACAGGGTGGCGCCAAAGGTCCAGCTGTGAGACGCTTCAACCGCCCACAACGGCAGGGTGACCAGAAACAAAAGGTCAGCCACGGCCAGGTTGAGCAGGAACACATCGGTCATAGTCTTGAGACGCCGACGGAAGTTCAGGTAGATCCAGACTACCGCCAGGTTCCCGGGGCCGCCCACCAACGCGATCATCCAGAAGAGTGGTGGTTCGCATGCACGCCGGAAGGCCCGCACCGATGACAGGTCGCACATAAAATCCTGGAACTCATAGTCCGGGGTGGTGGCCGTCAGACCTTCGGACCATGGGTCCTGAAAAGGGGAAAATGGGTCGGGGGTTCAGTAATAATGTCCGCTTGTGCTTTACCTGAGTGGGTGAGGCTTAGTACCTCGGTGACAGAGTCCGTCATGAAGTCATCCATGGAGTCACCTGGCGGTGGCTTTCTCCCAGCTGAACACAAACATTGCAAAATAAAATCTTATTATTTGTCATAACAATGTTTTTCTGATACAGAAATATATAAAAATATTTTCAAATTACTCCTTGATGAGAAACTTTTCTTCTGAACCGTCAGAATTTCAAACTGGGAGCATATTTGACCAATGTTCCTCTTTCTAGATTTTACAAATATACTTTTTAATCATTTCTTTTGACATATTTAACTATTAAGGTTATAATGGCAAAACCCAACATTTAATGCACTAAATGAAAAATGTAAATACAGATCAGGTTGGATTTTTTTTTCTTATGCCCTGCATACATTTGCTGTGCATGGAGAGGGTGACAATACTGATGCTAACTCAAAGAAGAGAAACTTCTTGCATTTTCAAATTAGAGCCTGTTGACTGCCAATAACAAGAAATATTTCTTCTCAAGTGTTGGAATTTCGAAATAAAAATATAATGGTATGTCACTGTCATTTCTCTTCTCATGGCTTGATTTTCAAAGAAAGGCGATGAAAATATGGGGCTGTCAATCAGAAACTCATCAGCTTCAAGATAAGAGTCAATAACAGGCAAAATCTTTCCTTCATTGACATTTTGAAATTCAAACTCACTGACTCTCAACGTACTTTGAATGATTAAAAGCACACACCAACAAACACACACACACACACACACACACACACAAACACACGGGAGGACTCACTATGGCGTTGTTGGCGGTTGCGTCTCGATGTGGCGATCGCACAGGCGTTCTGATGTTCGTTACAATTTTAATGAGTCAAAGCAGAAGTGATCAAAAGGGCGGAGCCGCAGACTCTCTTGAAAACATCCCTCCATTTTTTTGTTCATCTCACGTTGTGTTGCATGTGCATGTGTGTGTGTGTGTGTGTGTGAGACGGAGGGTGGGGGGCGGGGGTTGTTGACACGCTCACCGTCGAGTATATTTGACCTTTGGCCACACCTGCCATCTGAGATGGTCAACAGTGGATGTTCATCCCAAGTCTGCAGAGCGAGCTCTCATCGATCGGTTGGCTGATCGATTTAAGAGTTGCATGTGTTCCAATACTTCTGCTCGTGTCACGAATGTAAAGCACCAAAGTCCCGTCCTTGGTGTGTCTGTCTCACTGGAGACATGAAGACGTTGACGAGGTGGTGGAAAATCTCTTCACGGGATATAAGCGAGACGAGCAAGACGACCATGAAGATGAAGATGATTTCCTGTGCATTCATCTGTTTCGTTGTGTTGCGTGACTCAAGCGACCAGGCCTCACTGGCACGCTTGTGTAACAGGAAGTGACAGCGTCAGCTTTGCACGCAAGCTCGCGTTTGTTTTTCAACTTTCAGTATTTTTTTCAGTTTTCACTTTGAAGCTGGCAGACGAAGTGGTGAAGAACCACAGCACTTCTCACCTTCCGTCAGCCGTTAAGGACGAATGCACGTAGTGACGCATATTGTCCACACCACAGCACTGCACACGATGTTGCCCATCATGCTTTATCGATCAAACAACATGACAATACACTAAGAATGGGCGAATACCGATAATCAGTATCGGTATCAGGCCAATACCAGTACTATTTCAATGTATCGGATCTCATGATGGCGGCCGATACCAGTCAACGATTCCATGGTGATCTCTTGTGGCCATTTGACTATCAGGAAATAAATGATATACCTATTAAGATGCAATTTCTGCAAGTATGTGTATTTTGACAAGATTTAAATTCAGGGGTGTACATGAAAAATTTGGGGCGCTCCTCTAATGAACACCAGAGGTTGTTTGGTGCTCATTTTTTTTCCGACCCACCAACCTCAGGGATGAACTTGCGGCAGATCTAATATGAGTATTTTTTTTTCAGTTGTTGTTGCATCAACTGATGTAGCCTTCTCGGATGAGAGGCCAAACTTTGGCTTCCTTGTGTCTCCTCTTCGAATTTAACACCTTGTATGAATCTCTTGCTTCACACTCATTATAGTTTTTTTCTTTATTTGAGATAAATAAAGATCAAATCAAACTAACTCTTCAAAGACAAATGGAGCACTCCAGTTCAATGCCCTGAGAAAGAAATGACCTTGATGAAAGAGAATATCCACAAGCATTTTGGACTTCAATTCTTTATTCCTGAGGACCTGTTGTGCCTTTTCTCAAAAATAAACAAAAGGGATTTCTTTAAAACGACCATTGCTTTTATATACATTTTAGGTTTCAAAAATACTCGTGGTATCTGCTACTTTTCAGCAGTATTGATAGAATTGAATACTATTTACTGAGTACTGAAAGAAAGTGGTATTGAGCATTCCTACATTTGCCAATGTTTCCTTTCTGTAAATGTTTGAGCTAAAAACTGAGCAGAATAACTTGTTTTTCTTCTTGTAAACTGGGATAGACATTTTTAAAATGTCCTCGACGGAAAGTGCCTCCTCTGTGTTTCTGTGTGCCAGACCTCCATCTGGTACCGTCAGCCGCCTGCTGGGGGCAGTATAGCAGACAGCTGACATTGACCCGCACTCAAAAAGAAGACAACGAAGACGAAGACAACGACGAAGCAACAGAAACCACGGAAGGCTGGACCGACGACAGACAAGTTATACAAACGGTATGATTAGTTTTTCATTTAACCAGGCGAGAAACATTATAATGTGTGTGTGTGTTTTGTCGGCTGGCTACTTTGCATTCATTGAGGCGTCTTTTGGTGCCTGTTAGCATGCTTCCGTTAGCGGGGTGTCCGCTTGGTCCACTTGAAGCAACTTCTTCTCGCAGCGGACTTGTTTGATTCCCGCCACTGAAGCCAATGCCCAGTACTGTAGTTTTTTTTTTCCAATCATATACAGTATTCCAGTTCAATCCCATAAGATATGGATTTTTTTGACAGACCTTAAATAAACAAAATAAAGAATTGATACGAACTTAACATTTAAGTAAATATATATATAGAAATTGTCAAGGGACTTCACATAAACAACTTAGAGTATATGTCAAAAATCTTTATACCTTTTGTTGGGGGGGGGGGGGGAGCGGCCTTCTTTCCCCCAGGTGTTCGTTGAATTTCGGACGAGGAGAATCTTGGTTCTTCAAATACAAGCTGGAATAGATGAACAGTTTCTTCAAAGCTTTTAATAACAGAATATTCTGGGCATCAGTGAATTACAGACAATGGCTGCTTGTCACGAGTGCGAAGCAGGAAGAGATTCACATAATTTCTATATCATCAGAAGGGCGGTACAGAGACACAAGGTGTGATATCATAACTTTCATTTTTCCTAAGCCGATTCTCAGTTAAGTGCATTCCAATGTTTGTGCGTCTCCAGCAGGGAGTATTTTAATTTTAAGTGATGATTGTTAGAAGGACGCCAAACTACACTGCGGGCATGGGAAATTTATACAGCATGACTAAATATGAGCAGAATACAAACTTCACTTTCTTGTTATCTACAAATTTGGGACTCAATGTAACAATCAGTATCAATTAAAAAAACCTTAAAACAGCTTTGTGAATATGAAATTTCCCTCACGAAATAAAAAGACCAACACTAGTGCCAATTTCTCTCCCCTGATCACTAGTTGCTGATGATACGTTTGACTGACGTCATGATCTCCTATGGATTCGATTTCAACACGTGAAATCAGAGGTAGCTGTGTTGCACATCGTTTTAATTTGTTTTTAATTTGTCGCTTGTCGCCCTCTGGTGTCAGACGAATGACGTTTCTACTCTATTCTTTTCCAACCTTGTCTTCAGATGATGATGCTTTGTTTTTTTCAAATAAAACGAGCCAACATATTATGAATGTCTTCACAGGTGGAATCAAAAAGTGGAAGGGAGCTAGATCACAAAAACAAACTGCTGGAGACACAAATGTGGAAACGCCTTCAGGTTTCGTCCGAAGGACTTGTCCTAAAATGGATGCGTGTCTTTGAAGGGATCACCTGCAAATAGATCTCCAATTGCACCATGACCACACATACCACCACGAGGTCATCGGCCACATACGCAGGCGAAGGTGATGATGCAGCGCTCACATCCGGGTCATCCTCAGCGGTTGGCGATGACGCACTGGTGTGCAGCTGGACGCGGCGCTTCCGGGACGTGGGCCCCGTCACTCTGCAGCTGGAAGGCGGGCCCGCCTGCGCCCGCCTCTACTGTGATGTCATTGACGGGCTGGCGGAGGGCGGCGGCCTCGCTGAGGCCTTCCTGGTGGAGATTTTCCGCTGCAAGCTGTGCCAGTTCACCTGTGGCCTCAAGAGCGCCATCTGCAGTCACCTGCTGATGGTTCACACCTCACTGGAGGAGGCGGGGATTCAGCGACCGCCCCCCACCTACACCCTCGAACTTAAGCACGACGATGACGATTTGCTCCTGTACGACATGTTGCACGACATCGGCCCAGACGCGGGGTTAAAGGTTGCGCACAGCTGTGAGGTGACGCACATACAATTCAAACAATGCATGGTTGCACATTGTAAACATTCAAGCAGGTTTACAAAAAGATAAAAAAATAGATATTGCACAGCTGGGTTTACATATTTGATGTCAAGTTTGTGTGGGCATGTCTTCATCAGCAGGTCAGCAGCCTGTTTGAGGACGACGAGTCCATCTTCCCCGTGAAGACCCCATCGGGTTCCACGGATGCCTCTTCCGAGGAAACGGCACAGTCCGCCCACCTCATGACGCTCGGACTGTGTCGCATCACCGCACCACGGCCGGCCGCCCCCCTGCCGGAGATCCCGCGGCCTCTTGTCTCCAGACGGGCGCGGTCGACCGATCAGCCGTCGGACCCGTTGACATCCGAGGACGCAGGGAAGGGTGCTAAAAAGAAAAATGATGCTTGCCGTCTGTCCAAGAGACATCGTGCATGGCGTCAAGCGAACCGCCGCCGCCAGAGGCGGTCAGCTGAGCAGCAGGCAGAGCTAAAGTCTTGCAGGAGGAGGACAAATGTGAAGAAGAAGAAGGAGGAGGAGCTAGGGCAAAAGCAGCCAGACTCACATGACTTCGGGGACGCAGGTAAAAATCTCTTCAAACAATCCGTCTTTATCTTGAATCAATCGGTTAAGACTCCCCTGCAGACAAGGTTATTAGAGTTGACCAAAATTAATAAAATTACATTTTTGTTAACAAAATAAAATAAAAATGTAAAAGAAAACTAACTGAAACTACATCTTGTGTTCATAAAACTAGATATATTTCGAACAAAAGTACCCTTTTTTTCTTCTTTGTCAACCAGTATCATACATGAGCTATTGGGGGTGTGATTTGAAGTGAACTAATTTCGGTATTGCCGTACACAAGAAGGAAGGTCAAACAATCACTTGACCCTATTAGACAACACATGCCCTTTTATTTATTTATTTTTTTATCTTCCACTCAACAAACACTTCTTTTATTAAAAAAGAAAAACTAAAATGAAAGATTAAAAAAAAAAAAAAAAGAACTTCACAAAATTGCACTTAAAACTGACTTAATTTTACTTTATGCTTGGAAAATCCCAAATGATTTAAACCCTGCCTGCAGACGAAAGTCGTCGTGTGATTGAACGAGCTGACAGGAAAAAGAAGAAGAAGAAGGTGACGACGCACCTGGACAGGTGGATGCGAGACGCTTGAGTGACATAATCACTGCTGCTTGGCACCCGACTTGCTGATCGGTTGATTGATTGATTGACAGCTCTTGTCACAGATCAGCTGAAGGAGGAAACAAATTCGTCTGCTCGCTGTGTCACAAGTCAGTCTCTTACTCATAGTCGTCCGTCTGGCGCTCTCTCACACACACACACACACACACACTCCAATCGCAGAGCTCCTTCTTGTTCCCTCACAGGAAGTTGTC